TAATGTTAAGATGAAAATTACTTTGCATGATAGATAGACGAGATGTGAAAAAAAAAAAAGCATGAGAGAAACATTACTTTATAAACCTTAAGACTTAATAAAAAATTTGATATTTTGCATATAAAAGCATTGTAATGTTTACTGATAATCTGCCAAAGTTCGTTAACATTCGCTTACTAATTTAAAAGTTATAGCATAAACTATAACAAGCACAAATTGGTTACAAGGTCAGTCCCAGGAACCGAGCCTGTGCTGAAATAGTTAATAACCAATCTAAACATAGTCACAACATTGCAAGAAATAGTCACTGAATATATTCCATGTTGGTTGATATGTCGTACTGAGTTATGTGTTTGTGTTTTTTTATTTAAAACAACATTGTAGCATATAAAAACTGACCTTAACACTATAGTAAGTTATATTTCGTTTCTATGAGGATTTTTTTGTTAAAATGTATTTACTGAATCATGTTTTTGTTTCTTGCAGCTAGAAGATGACATATTAACTAAACCAGGTTATGTGACAACCATGAAGAATTTTGCTTATAAGCAAATTACAAATAAAAAAGACTGGTTGATTCTGGATTTTTGCCAATTAGGATTTATAGGTTAGTCTTTATTTATTTCATCATGTTATATTATGTTAGAGGTATTTTTTTAAGTATTTTTTTAATTGAGTTTGGAGACCTAGTTTCAAGTATGTTAACATTGGTTGCTGTAAAGACCATTTCTCTTAAAGGTAGAATAATATTTACATTTTATTCCTTAACTATTTTATAATGAAATACTGAGAAAATCAATGACAGCACTGCATACAGTACAGGATAAAAAAAGTATTCTGATGCTAAATAATGAAAGATACTGAAGTTGTATGAGAGATTATGTCGGCTGAAAAAGAAATAGGATTTTGAGTGCTATGTTTCTTGCTAAAATGTCAGTTATTTTTTTTATAATAATAAATTGTTTATTTACTTTTCCATAATCCATTTCATTTATCACCAAATTAAAATCTAAATCTACCACTGTTAAGTTTTCATATAATACACTCAGTTAAGTTAATAGAATAGCTGATACCAGAAAACAATAAATAATTATAAATTATAAGATTATTCTTTGAATATTTTGGTTTGATTATCTGTATTTCATATAGCTTACTTAATTTGTTTTTAATAATTTTATTTAGCTGTATATTTATATCCTTTATCATAAACTTTCATATTATATATCAGTTGACAGTTTTCTGTTATAGCTCACCAGGCACTAATAAAGTAAAGAATACAGATCTTTAACTTGACACTTGAGGGTTTTGGATTCAATTCCAAGTGCCACCAACTTGCTCACCCTGTCTTCATTATGGCAAAGCAGCTAAGGCTCTCTGCCTCTGTTACTCATTTCGACCTGATGAACAAAGGGAAGACAACTGGTTGCAGAAGTTGCTTCTATTTTATTTTCACTTGTACCAACCACGGCTTCCAGAACAATGTGCTAATAAATTAATTGAAGGTAGTTGGTTAATGGGGCCATTAATTACTCAACTAGGAAATACCAATGATTTTCCAAGTCTAACCCTAAATATTTCACACCTTTGATTTGTACTGTTTAGTTCTGTATCACTGACCAGATATAAATATGATACTAAATATAACAAGCTTTCCAATGATGCATAGCCCTGTATTAATAGCTAGATGGAGACATGTTGCTCTGGTTGAATTGTTCCAAGTGACCAGAATTGTCTGGTAACATTATGATGTGTTAATTTTTTTTATCTACCTCATTGATTAAATTTGAATAAATTTGTCAGTATTCTGAATATATTTTAATACTAATTGAAACCAATTACAACTCTTTCTTTCTAGGTAAAATGTTTAAATGTGTTGATCTGTCCAAACTGGTAGCCTTTTTCGTTATGTTCTACAATGATAAGCCTGTCGACTGGCTTCTGGACAACATGGTACAAACCAAAGTGTGTCGATTTGATAAAGATGTAGTGAGTAACTTTTATATTATTTATTTTTTTCATTTTAATTTCATGAAATTTCATGTACAACAGTCGCTACACAACCTAATGTCTACAACCCAAGCCTGCTGCTAGCAGAGTTGTACAATGGTAGCTACATAACCTAATGTCTACAACCCAAGCCTGCTGCTAGCAGTTGTAGAACAGTAGCTACACAACCTAATGTCTACAACCCAAACCTGCTGCTAGCAGAGTTCTATAACAGTAGCTACACAACCTAATGTCTACAACCCAAACCTGCTGCTAGCAGAGTTCTATAACAGTAGCTACACAACCTAATGTCTACAACCCAAACATGCTAGCAGAGTTCTATAACAGTAGCCACACAACCTAATGTCCACAACCCAAGTCAGCTGCTAGCAGAGTTGTACAACAGTAACTACACAACCTAACCTGTCTTTAACATGTGGAGTGAGACAATTAGTTAGATATGACAAAACCAAGTTACCCAACCTGTCTTTAACATGTAGACTGAGACATTTAGACAGGTGTTATTAAACCAAATTACCCAAGGTTCTTTGGTCTTGATGCTATGGCAGTCACATATTCTTTCCCATGTGGTTTTTTGCTAGCTTGCCTCACAAAGAGATGCGCTCGTGCACACGTGGATAAGTAATAATACCCAGGTGCACACCCTCAGGGTCCACTTAGTATGTTTGCAAAATTTCATGTTCTAGATTCTTTCTTCGTGGAGCTATGGCAAGCATACATGCTCTTTTATTATTTTAGACAAGCTAGATTTAGGTATTGCTTTGTATCAAACATCTTAGGTGTACTGGAAGTACAGTAAAAAGTCATAAATATTAATTGGTGTTAGAATATGACAAGTTAAATTTTGATGTTTTATATTCGACAAGTTATGTATACTTGAAGTACAGTCAAAATTTGTTAATGTTTGTTTGTGTTTGTATACACAGTTTGTATGTTTCTGAAGTAAACATTGAGGTGATTGAACTTTGAACATATTGATGATAAGCCTATGTTAAAATTACATAGTTATTTAAACCTTATGCAATGCTGTTTTATGCTTGTATTCATCGTGTAATTATGTTGATTATTTATAGGTTATTTGTAGCATTATGATAGCAAGTAAATACACAATACCATGTTGAGTAATATAAAGTTTATTTACACTTCTTCTTCCAACAATAGTGGATGTAAACTTTATATTATTGTAGCGTTATTGCTGATCTACATTAAAAGCATGCTCACTTCTATAAAACTCACAAATTCCTCACAATGAAAAGAAGTTTTTTCATGAAATATGAATTTGATTATTTTTTTTCTTATAGAAAGAATGTAAGAAGCAGAAAGATGCTGTGTGGCTGCACTACAAGCCATCCCTGTTCCAACATGTTGGTACTCATTCGTCCCTCAAAGGAAAAGTACAAAAATTAAAGGTAAAGATGTAACCTTTTAATCAACAAGTCAAAGTTTCAAAAACAAAAATCATAAGAAATATACAAATAGTTAAAAGTTTTTAATCTTCATAGTTTAATTCTTCTACAGGTAGACTTTGTGTAACAGCTGCTACTCAGACATATAGGTGTAATATTTTTATTAACCAAGACAGAATAAACTATGGTTCTGATCTTGTGTTGTTTGTGGGGTGGGGTGCATTTTTTCCCTCTTAGGCGAGCATTGTCGGTCTGTCGGGTGCTTCTGCTTGTGATTCATTGATCGTACACGTCAGGCCCGAAGCTGTTCTCCACTTTCACATTCACCATCAAGAAAGCATCACTCCTGTCTTCTTCACAGCTTTCCTTTGTGCTTGAAATTCGACAAATCATCTCTGCCTAACCAAGATTTCATGAAAATCGTTAACTTTTCCACTAAAAACTTTCAAAAATAACCAAGAAAAGGGCAAAGAGAAATAACTTTAATTTCTGAACACCCCTGGTTTATCAAACCTAATTACCTACCATTATTAGATCAGATAACCAATCCAACTGCTTCTCAGAGGTACAAATATATTAAACTTAATAACCAACCTCACTGCTTTTCAGAGGTACAATTATATTAAACTGACTAACCAAGGCAGCTGTTGCTCAGAGGTACAATTATATTAAACTTACTAGCCAACCTCACTGCTTTACAGAGGTACAAATATACTAAACTTACTAACCAACACCACTGCTACTCAGAGGTACAATTATATTAAACTTACTAACCAACACCGCTGTTACTCAGAGATACAAATATATTAAACTTAATAACCAACACAGCTGCTGCTCAGAGGTACAAATATATTAAACTTAATAACCAACACAGCTGCTGCTCAGAGGTACAAATATATTAAGCTTAATAACCAACACAGCTGCTGCTCAGAGGTACAATTATATTAAACTTACTAACCAATACCACTGCTACTCAGAGGTGCAATTATATTAAACTTACTAACCAACACCGCTGTTACTCAGAGGTACAATTATATTAAACTTACTAACCAACACAGCTGTTGCTCAGAGGTACAATTATATTAAACTTACTAGCCAACACAGCTGTTACTCAGAGGTACAATTATGTACAATTATGACTCTCAGTTGAGGCTGTCTGTGATATGATTTGTAGTGAGATGGAGACATGTTAGGTCTGGGGGTGTTTCTCCAAGGGGTTCTGAGGCTCTTTTTGCTGATGATTTTGGACATTTAGACTCATTTTTTCCGGCGCTGTCCTTTACAAGGTCACCTTCTCATGAGGCACATTTGGAGAAACCACCTCCAGCTCCTTTTTTTAAATTAGTTAATCAAGTGTGTGATGTTCTGGGTTTTCCCAAATTGTCTTTGAGTCTACACCTTCCTTGTTGGGGGAAATATCTAAGTGCAAATACTTAGTTCTTCCTCCATTTCCTGATATTGCTGTTCATGTTGAGAGGTTTACCATTCAGTTACATGAATGGATAGCTATGCCTTGTCCACCATGTTTATTGGAACAACATGCTTTGGGTTACCACCACCAGGGGGATGCATATTTAGATTTTTAATGACTAGATTTGCTTTTGAAAATGTGGGGTTCACTATGGTTCTGAGGTATTTATGATCCCTCCAACTATTGTTGGAAGCCTCTCAGCAATCACCACATCAATTTGATGATGAGTTGGGTCATTTGTTGACATCTACATTGGTACAGTTGACTGCATCTGCTTTTTCATTAGTTTCTTGGCTGGTATGTTGTTGGGATTTATTTGGTAGAGATGCCTCATTGGAAGGCATTTGTCTACCAGCTGCAGCTCTCCGTGAGATATATGACTATCCTATACAACATTTTCTAGACATATGAACTTTCTTTACCACGGATCCTTGGGTGCTACAGGTTCTTGCATCAGGGTTGCATCTCCACCACCATTATTCCCCCAAGTTGTAGTGTTTCCACCTCCTATGGATCCTCGGATAGTGGGTCAAAGGGGCAGTAGAGAGAGATGACCGTATTTTTCCGGGATTTTATTCCCGATTATTTGTTGTACCCACAAAGATGAGAGATTGGCATCCGATCATCAATCTTTCTCATCTCTACCAATTCTTAGATTCTCCCAGGTTCACGATGGAGTCATTCCTTTCACTATATTGGCATTTTTCTCCAGGACTTTGGATGACCAAGTTCAATGTGGCTGATGCCTATCTCCACATTCCCCTAGCAGAGTCATCCCATCACTACCTCCATTTTGTGCATAAGGGTCAAGTACTGCAGTTCTGGGCTGTACCCTTTGGACTAGCATCTGCTCTTTATGTGGTCTGCAGAATAGTATGAGCTTTTTCATGTCACCTTCATTCTTTAGGCCTGTGCACACATCATTATATGGCACCATCTCATCAGTTGGCAAAAAGTCACACCCAGATTTTCCTTTCAGAAGCCACCAAGGTAGGCTTTTATTATCAGAAGTGATAAATCTGTTTTCATGCCAACTCAATACATTGTCCATCTAGGTGTCTATTTCAACACATATCTAAGTCAGGCTCAGTCAACTCCCATTTGACTCTATTCTATGAAACAGGCTGTCATTGGGGTCTTTCACTTTCCTGTGATTTATCCAAAGTTACCTTGATGAGGTGGGTTTTAAAATTGATCTATATTGCTTATTTTGGGCTCTGTTTCCAGGAGAGAAAGCTTCTGCGAGTCGCGTCTCATCAGATTTGTTGCATCTCCATGTCCTTAGCTGCCTGGTTGAATTGCCCACTGGAGAACATCATGTGGGCTGATATGTGGACCTCACCCAATACTTTTATCTCACATTTTTTACGTGATCTGGCAATTTCTTCCTCTGAGGGTTTTGACAATCCCCATTGGCTATCTTAACCATATCTGCTCGATTATAAGGTTGTTGTTGTTTTTTTGCTACTCTTATCTCTCTTCTGTACAGGTCCATTCTCATCTTTTTTTCACTGGATCCTACTCTGTGGTAAATGTTACCCAGGCAGGTGTGCTTTTTTTCTATCAAACAAATTCTGCACTAGAAATCACAATATATACAGGTTGCAACAGGCTCTGCAGGAATGAGGTGTTCCATAATACCTTCTAGAAACTGACAGGGTGGTATTACTGTACTGTGCTAGACCACCACTCATGGGCTATCATGAGTAAAGCATAAGGAGATCCTGCCCATTCCTACCAATCACTGGATTGAATAAATCATGGTCAGTTTGCTTTTCAAAATTTATGTAACTTATTTCCACAGCACTATTCCTTAGAACTTGTACTTCTTCGGGTTAAAGAGAAGGTTTTTCCACTTCAGTGTTGCTTATTTTCTCGTGATTCTGTTGGCTTGGAAAGCATCACTCTATGGCTACAGGTTGGAATTCACTCAGAAGTATATACATATATATAATAGTTTGTAGTCCTATTGCCCTAGCCACCAACATGGGATATAAGAACCATGGTCCTTTAATTCTAACCCTAAGTAATAGTTGAGGCCTGGCCTATATCAATGATAAATCACATAAAATTCCACCCATAATATAGGAATTAAGTTCCGGGTGAGGAGCATACCTTTTCTGGATGTAGTGTGGTTTCCTCACTAGGGTGTCAATCTTCTATTGACACACACATGATCAATTCAGATGCTTTCTGTATGGATAATGCTCTCACTGGCCCCTCCACCTTATCAATGTGGAATTCTAGCTGTAGTGAGAGTGGAGGTAAGCATGGTTTGGAAGTTAACATTTGATTTAGGAAAATGTTAATGTTTATAATATTACCTACTGAAGAAAGTATCAAAACTAATAGTTTACCATGTTACCTACTGAAGAAAGTATCTAAACTAATAGTTTACCATGTTACCTACTGAAGAAAGTATCAAAACTAATAGTATACCATGATACCTACTGAGGAAAGTATCAAAACTAATAGTTTACCATGATACCTACTGAGGAAAGTATCAAAACTAATAGTTTACCATGATACCTACTTAAAGAAAGTATCAAAACTAATAGTATACCATGATACCTACTGAGGAAAGTATCTAAACCAATAGTTTACAATGTTACCTACTGAAGAAAGTATCTAAACTAATAGTTTACAATGTTACCTACTGAGGAAAGTATCAAAACTAATAGTTTACCATGATACCTACTGAAGAAAGTATCAAAACTTACCATGATACCTACGGAGGAAAGTATCAAAACTAATGTTTACCATGTTACCTACTGAGGTCACGTACCAAAAGTGTATATATTTTTTCTACGTTCTTCTTAGATAGTCCGTTATGAATTTCAAATCAAAGGCGTAGAAAAATAGGGTTTTAAATGTAAGTTTTCCTCGTACATATTTGTGCATATGAAGCCTTTTTTTTTAGTACCATAACCAATGATTGCTGTTCAAATAAAGCATCTCTGTGTTGTGTAAGAAATTTAGTGGTTGATGATCCATTATTTGTTGAAGTTGCTGGAAATAAAGTGTACTTATACTTTCTTTATTTGAACTTGGCATTAATCACAGAGATGGTATTGGTTGTAGTGGTTCTGTTCTAATCAAGGAATTGTATTTTTTCAATATATGTAACTTAATAACAGAATAGTGAAGGACATTGTTATTTAGTCTGCAAAATGTATTTTTTTTTTTAGAAAACGATTTACTAACATATGCAGTTTGTAGATAAATAAAACTATTTAGTTTAAATACTTAAGTTTACTTGAGTGTGTATATTGAGCTCTTTATCTCACTGGGTTTTTCTTTCTCTTTTCTCAAGGACAAACAGTTTGGGAAACTTGCCCTCCACTATGCACATAAAAACCCCTCAGCGGAACTTAGTACAACACTGAGGTCTTACAAAACGTATAACTTACTAAGAGCCTATAAGGGAGAGACGTTCTTTTGGGGTTTATTGCCCCAGCGAGGAGATAACATTAGTTTTAAATTCATGCCACCAATCAAGATAGAAAAGTAAGAGACACAGTTATTTTTTAAGATTTAGTGAATAAAATCATTTTAGTTGATAAATGTGTTTCTAATTCTAAGAACTTTGAATAAGAATATGTTATAATATGTCAACCACACTACATCTGCTATATCCAGTGCTGACAAGGCCTTTCACTCAATATAAGGTCTCGTCAGACCTGCTCAAATATAACAGACATAGTAGTGGTCTTGTGAACTAGATTAAGTTAGGGAATTGTAGTTATCATACCATCCGTTTAATGTCATGTAAGTAGGTTAGTTTGTACCAAAATACAATCAGAAACAACAAGGTTGAGGATTCATTAAACCAGCATATTAAGATTATAACAATGTCAGGGTTGATAACATATAAGGATCTCTTGAGCATGCACAGTTCAGGAAACACAATACACATGGTATGTAATATAAACTATCAATTAAGTGGCTTTCCGAATGGTGTTGGTGTATAATATTGCATACTATACTTTAACCCATACTGTTAAGTACTTTCCAAACACTGGAGTGTTGGTGTATAATATTACATACTATACTCTAACCCATACTGTTAAGTACTTTCCAAACACTTGAGTGTTGGTGTATAATATTACATACTATACTCTAAGCCATACTGTTAAGTACTTTCAGAACACGTTTCTCTGAGTTTTGTATGTAATGTTATGTGACTATGTAGAACCTGAACTGTTAATTGCTTTAAGGTCCTGTTTCTCTAAGGTTTTATGTAAAAGACTGATTTAGTAGAACCTGAACTGGTATGAAATATTGTGTTTTAGTATAACATGTATAGTTAAGTGCTTTGAGATTGTTTCTCTGAACTTTGATGTAGACATTTGTGTGATTTCGTAGAACCAGTATAGTTAAGTGCTGTTGGTGTTTATTTATTTGATTTGTGGTGTGAGAGATTGTAGTAGGACAAGAGAAGTATCATAACATTAAAACATATACTTTACTCACTAATGTTTTCTTGAAGTTTTAATCTCTAGTAGAAACTGATATGTCTGATTAGAAGTTACATCTGAAAACCAGTGCTGTTGAAATAGAAATTAAGATTTGTCACTTAATTCTGAAAATTATTGTAAAGATAAAAACATTCATTTCTGATGCGTGCTCATTTTACTACACTGTTTCTCTAAATATATAGAAAAAATTATCATAGGGAAGTCCTGCTCTTCAAGAATTGCAATGTTTACAGTCATTATTGTGGAATCAGACAATTAGCAGTGGCATTTCAACTAAAACACATCTTCCCTAGCAACAAAGATGCTGATACAGTGGGAATATAATGGACCCAATATCTTCTAGATAACTGAGACACATCTCCCCTATCTACTATAATAAGAATAGCCAAGGAAAGTAAAATAAATGTATTGATTTGAAATGGATATTTGCAGTGAGAACCTAGCTGAGGAAGACATTTTCAACATATTGTAATACACTAAATCTGTACTGCTGTGTGTTTCACTTGAAATGTGTTTTTAACATGAAATAAATTCAAAGTGCGTTACGAAAACTAATATTTTAGCAGGAAATAATGTATAGTAAATTAATTTTTGCAATCTGTGGGTTGCAGATTTGAATCCCTGTCACCAAACATCCTTGTCCTTACAGCCATGGGAGTATAATAATATGATGGTCAATCCCACTATTCATTGGTAAGAGAGTAGCCCAGGTTTTGGCAGTGGGTGTTGTTGACTAGCTGCCTTCCCTCTAGTCTTTAACTGCTAAATTAGAGCAAATAGTCATCGTGTAGCTCTGCACAAAATTCAAAACAAATCAAATCACCAAATATTTGAAAAGTAATGATATTAAATAGTATTGAAACATCTTTTGGAAATTATTAGATTATTTATATTTCAACCATTTACTTCTTCTGCTTATTTTTATTCTTACGAAAAGTCAAGTTTAAAAAGGAATTTAATATAATTTATTGTGTTGTGTTTAGTAGTGTAATAGGATGACCTTCCTTAAAACTGCAAGGATGAGCACAGATCACAGTTCGCAATCCGCTGGCCTGGATGTACTTTATTATATTATGAAGATATTAAGCATTTGAGGCTTACATGCTTGCCGGGCATTGTTGGAGGATTTATTGTAAATAGAAATGTAGTTACAAAGAAGAATACCACTGGCTAAAATAAAATTGTGGCTCTACAAATTGAGACGGGCCACCTGGTGAACCAGAAGATATTACAGAGAAATGTAGGTGATGAAATGTCTTCATTCACTGAAACATTGTTATTGTACGTAAATACAAGTGTAGTGATAGCAATGATGGGAAAAACTGTAACAAGTAGGAAAAAATACACAAAGCTATTTAAGACAAAAAAGAGGTACAGGCATTTCTTGGTAATGACAAAGTTGACAGTGGCTGAACTTATTGCTAGGTTATTCAGTCATGCATTACTGAGATATATATCATAAATATCTGGTCTTACAGCCAGGTTATTCAGTCATGTTTACCTGAGATACCATAAGTATCTGGTCTTAAAACTAGATTATTTGGTCATGCATAACTGGGATAAATATCTGGTCTTACAGCCAGGTTATTTAGTCTTGCAACCAGGTTTTATTCAGTCATGCATAACTGAGATATCATAAAGATCTGGTCTTACAACCAGGTTATTCAATTATGCATTACTGGAGTATTTATTATAAATGAAAAAGTCAATACTGTACAAAAACATTCTAATTTAAAATGTTATTCTTCATGCAATACTTAGTTTGTAAGTTTGATACTTTTATTCTTGTCTGTGTGTTATTCCATATTGTTCCATTGATTTATTCAGAAGTCCTTATTTGGTGGAATACCTTTCAGTTTATTTTGGCCCACTGCACAGATACACTAGGTTTTATGTGATGAATATAAAGAAATAGTAGCACAGTCTACCTTGGTAATTACTCTCTAATTCTAGTGAGGCCTAATTTGGTTTTTAGGTATGCTGTTCTTTATTTATGCTTTCATGGTTTAATTGAAGTTCTCTTTCTTGGAAATGAAAAATATTAGTCCTTTTTTAACATCAGTATCTTTAAAATATTCAAAAACAGTCATAATGTTATGTTAAAACATAAATGTGTATTCTTTCAAAATATCTTTTACTAGTTAACATACACCAGTTGTGTTTTATTATAATCGCCTGGCTCCGTACAATAATAAAACCAGTAAATGCATTTCCACAATCAGATTTTCATAATCTCGCATTAGAGAGGAAGATAACCCGTATGTTAAAAGTTCTTTCAAACATTTATCAAAGCTTTACTCATTGCTGGTCTTATTATTAGTTCTGATCTATGTAGGTAGCTTGCTTTGATCAGAAGTTAATGATAATAACATTTAGACCTGTTCCTCATCTTCTCAAATATTTGCATTTAGGTTTTTATTTAGAAGTGGGAACCCTGAACACCCTGATGACAAGTTTTTTAACACCACTGTGGAGGTTCTACCTGTGAATGATCCTTCAAAGCAATTGCTTCCTAAAACCAGGGATGGCTACTATGTGGTTGGGCTATTCAAAGACACTACTGGTATTTCTGAGGGCGTAGTCCCGGCCGACTTTGGCCCAATCAGTACTCTGAGATTGCTTGTTCGTGGGGACAGTGAAAGGTGGGCCATTCTTAGCGAGGTGAGTTTATGTTTACTGCTGGAACTTTCGTTAGAGAAATTGTAGCTGCATTGTCTCAATTTACTATAAAGGTGATAAGTTATGTCTTAAAGATTATGTAGAATGGCTTCTGCTTTCCTTCATCAAATTATATGACATTTTATATATACATTAATTGTTCACCCTAGATAAATATTTTTGATCTGACCCAACTAAACACGTCTTGTGTACTAATCTATAATGAAATAACTTGTTCAACTGAGATATTGTGATCCTTTCAATTCGTTCTCTACTAATTCACAAACTCTACAAGTTGTTCTGTACTTCACCAAATTATAAAGATGTACTTTTATGAAATTTAATGTTATTGAATTTTCAGTTAACATGTAATGTGAAATGTTATTGATGTTTATGGTTAAAATATCGATGTTAGTGGTTAACATGTAATGTGAAACGTTATCGATGTTAGTGGTTAACATGTAATGTGAAACGTTATCGATGTTAGTGGTTAACATGTAATGTGAAACGTTTTCGATGTTAGTGGTTAACATGTAATGTGAAACGTTTTCGATGTTAGTGGTTAACATGTAATGTGAAACGTTATCGATGTTAGTGGTTAACTTTTGATATGAAGTATGATGTCACTGATCTTGTAACAAAGTGAATCAATCTGATATATTTTGTACAGTTTCAAAGGATATATTTAATCATGTGTGGGTTTGTTTGTTTTTCAGATATTTATTAAGCCTCTTGTAATGTCCAGTCCCAAGCCCGGTAAGGAACGGTGACCCCAAAGTAACTATCTTAAGGACTGAAGCAGAAAAAGAATTGCTTTTACATAAATATTTACCTAAAAAAAGTGCCTTGAATATCAGCCAGAACAAATGTATATGACTTTCCTTATTGCATGGTTTGGTGGAAGTTTGCTGCTGTTTGTTTTAAAGAAAGGGTTTTTGGGTACACTATCCCACCAGATATGAGCTACTTGAGAGTTTGTGATGTAACAGTTTAGGTTTTCTAAAAGTTATATTTATGAAATGCAAAACAATATTTTATTAACTGAAAGAAATATCAAATTGTATTTGTATTGGAATATATGAATTTACATATTGATGGAAGCAAAGTTTGTTCAATTAAGCTAGTCTAAAAATAAATAATTACAGGAAAAATTATTTTATTATTGTAAATGATATCTTAGGGTAAAAATTGTTGGTTTCATTGTAACATATTATCTGTTTAAAAACTATATTGTTTAAGAATGTGTTATCACTTAAAAATCCTTCTAGAGAAAAGTTGGCAAAATTTATAATTGTTTCTGTTTCATATAAAGTTTTTAAAGAAGTTTGAACAATGAGATATGTTAGCCAATTTTCATTGCATCTTATCAAAGTATAAATATTTCTGACATTTGTAAGGCGTGCAACAATTGATTGTAAAGCACTGTAAAAGTAGGATATAACTGTCCGACATTAGCTTGCCGTTAGTGTTAAAGAATATAAAATATTCTGTAACAATTTTTTTGTAAATAAATCCTCTGAGGGTAGAGTTAGTAGTATAATGTGTCATCATGATAAGTAAAGTTTCATAGTGTAGTTTGAACATTATTTTTTGTTTATGAAAGGGAAATCAAAATATTAATAACATAAAGTTAATAATTGGGGTTTGATATTTTAGGGTCAAAACTTGTCAACATAATTTGCTTTTTTTTTTGCCTTTTAATTATTTTCTGTATTCTTGAATTTTGCCAGTTCAGGTATGAAGTTGTGTATGTCATAATGGTTAAAGCTGGTTTTCCAGGATGGAAAATGAAATTAGCAGATTGATGTAGGCTTGCTCCTTTGAAGATGAATGCATACGATTGTAAGTGATAAACGTTTTCCATCCATTCTTACCACAAAACATTTATTTTGATACCAAAAAGCACAAGAGTTTCATTAAATGGATGGTTATTGGTGTTTTGTACTTAAAAACATAATGTCATTGTAGCTGTGGCAAAATAATTAATAGTAATGTCGTTTTTCCTGGTAGTTGATTTGATAATGTAGAGTTGCTGAACGCCCCATTTCTAATAGTTTATTTGATAATGTAGAGTTGCTGAACACCCCATTTCTAATAGTTTATTTGATAATGTGGAGTTGCTGAACGCCCCATTTCTAATAGTTTATTTGATAATGTGGAGTTGCTGAACACCCCATTTCTAATAGTTGATTTGATAATGTGGAGTTGCTGAACACCCCATTTCTAATAGTTTATTTGATAATGTAG